GGGAGGAGGCTGGGGGCTCTTGGCTTACTGAGAGGAGACTGAGCGGGCTCCTGGGCTTATTGGGGGGCTCCTGGTTTACTGGGAGGACATTGGGGGGCTTCTGGGCTTATTGGGTGGGCTCCTGGCTTACTGGAAGGACACTGGGGGGCTTCAGGGCTTACTGGGAGGACACTGGACTCCCCCAAAATGCCCCTGTGCCCATGGGGACCCCCCCAAGGTGGTCCATGAGCTCCCTGTGTCCCCCCCCTGCTCTTCTTTCCGGGGTGCGAGGGGTCTTTTTTCCCCACCCCCGGGGTCCTGTTGGCAAAATTGAAGCCGTTTTGCCCAAATTCCTTGGATTTTCCCCCATTTATCCCCAGCGCTCTCTCCCCACAGGGCTCCGCTGCAGGACAACACGCTGCTGGTGAACTAATCCCACCCCGGACCCCCCCGTGAGCTTTTAATTTATTTTAATCGTTTGCTTTTATCGACTCGAAGCCCCCCCCCTCCTCCAAGGGGTGAGGAGGGACAGGGACAGTGTCCCCTGCCCCTTGGGGACACTCAGGGGACGCTGGTGGCCCCCTTATTTTTCTTGAAGGATTTTGGTCTCGCTGTTCCCAGTCCTGAACTGGAGCTACTGGAGCTGGGCAGTCCCTGGGAGGGGGGGGGGCTTGGTGGGGGGCCCTGGGACGTGGGTTTGGGGACACTCTGGACCCCTTGGATGTGGTTTTGGGGACAACCTGGAACCTCTGTGTCACCTCGGATGTCCTGGGACGTGGGTTTGGGGACACTGGACCCCTTGGATGTGGGTTTGGGGACAACCTGGAATCGCTGTGTCACCTCAGATGTGTTTTTGGGGGACACCCTGGAGCCCTTTTGGGGACAACCTGGAACCTCTGTGTCACCTCGGATGTGTTTTTGGGGGACACCCTGGAGCCCTGTGACCCCTCAGATGGATTTTTGGGGACAACCCAGAGTCCTGCGAGCCCTTGGACGTGATTTTGGGGACACCCTGGAGACCTGTGACCCCTCAAACGTGCTTTTGGGGACAACCCAGACCCCTCGGATGTGTTGGGGACAACCTGGACCCCTCAGACGGGCTTTTGGGGACAACCTGGAGTCCTGTGACAGCTCGGATGTGGTTTTGGGGACTTCTTGGAGACCTGTGATGCCTTGGACGTGGTTTTGGGGACAACCTGAATCCCTGTAGCCCCTCAGATGGGTTTTTGGGGGCACCCTGGGCCCCTGTGACCTCCTGGACGTGTTTTGGGGACAACCTGAAGCCTTGTGACACCTCGGACTTGGTTTTGGGGACAACCTGGACTCCTCGGACGTGTTTTGGGGGACAGCTCGAAGCCCTGTGACCCCTCGGACGTGCTTTTGGGGACAAACTGGACCCCTATAACCCCTCGGATGGGTTTTGGGGGACAACTTGAAGCCCTGCCACCCCTCGGACGTGATTTTGGGGACAACCCGGACCCCTGTAACCCCATGTGTGTGGTTTTGGAGACAACCCAGACCCCTCGGACGTGGTTTTGGGGACAATCTGGAGCCTTGGGACCCCTCGGATGTGCTTTGGGGGACAATCTGGAGCTCTGTGACCCCTCGGACATGATTTTGGGGACAACCCAGACCCCTCAGATGTGCTTTTGGGGACAACCTGGACCCTCTGGGACACCTTGGACGTGGTTTTGGGGACACCCTGGAGCTCTCAGATGTTTTTTGGGGGACAACTTGGTGCCCTGGGACCCCTGAGATGGGTTTTTGGGGACAATCTGGAGCCCTGTGGCCCCCCCCCTTGCCCCCAGCCACCTCTGTCCCCCTCTGGCCGGGCACGGGGGCAGGGAGACGTGTCCCTTGTCCCCGTCCCCCCATGTCCCCCCCCTCGGGAGCTGTTTACGCGCCGCGGGGACGGGTCAAGGGCATGTTTTGTAACGGGAGGAGCTGGAGCGGGGCCAGTGGCCACTGGAAACGGGCACCGCCGCCCCCCCCCCCAACGGGCACCGCCGCCTCCCCCCCCACCCAAAAAAGCCCCCTTTCACCCCAAACCAGCACCCTTTCACCCCCAAACGCCCATTTCACCCCCCAAAACTGAAATTTCATCCCCAAAAAGCCCCCGTTTCACCCCCAAAAAACCCAATTTCACCCCCAAACCCCTGATTTCACCCCAAAATACCTTAATTTCTCCCCCCAAAAGGCCTCATTTCATCCCCATAAAGCCCAATTTCACCCCAAAAAGCCCAACTGCACCCCTGAAGGCCCAGTTTCACACCAAAAAGCCGTATTTCACCCCCAAAACTCCCCATTTTCACCCCCCAAAGAGCCCCTTTTCACCCCTAAAAATATTTCATCCTCAAAGAGCCCCATTTCATCTCCCCCAAAACCTCAAATTTCACCCCAAAAAGCCCAATTTCACCCCAAAAAGCCACATTTCACCCTCAACCTCCCCATTTTCACCCCAAAAAGAGCTCCTTTTCACCCCTAAAAAAAATTTCACTCAAAAAGCCCTATTTCATCTCCCCAAACCCCACAATTTCACCCCAAAACCCTCAAATTTCACCCACAAAAGGCACCATTTCACTCCCCAAAACCTCAAATTTCTCCCCAAAAAGCTCCATTTTCACCCCCCAAAAGCCCAATTTAACCCATTTCACCTCAAAAAAAAAAACCTTTCCAC